CAGACATACGTACATGCATAAATCCATGCATATGTATGTACATATGTACATACATAATGGATAATAGCGTGCAGACAAATACATTTTCAAGCAGGCAACGTTGCCTGCCGTACGGCAACTGCATGCATGCCATGCACATACATACAGACATGCATACAGACATATGTATGTATAAAGAAAATTTAATAAACACAAAATACAAAACAGCGCAGGCAGGCAGCAAGATCTGCAGAGGCAGCAACAAAGCAGTCACATGCACATAAAAACCTGCATACATATGCACACTTGCTAGGCTGAAGATTTGTAAAGCAAAGGGAGGCGATCGGCAAGCAAGAACAAGCACAGCACCAGCAACAACAACAACCAGGCGAACAGGTCGGCATCAGGTAAACATGCAACAGCAACAGTAACAGCAGCAACAGGAAGTCTAAGCAAGAGCGGGACAGCGTGAACGATAAGACTAAGTATGATAAATATCGATAAATGAGCAGCAGGGCAGGCAGGAAACAAAACTACTACGAAACTAGTCAAAACAAAAGGCGAACCAAAGCAGGTAAAACAACAAAGCGACAAATACAGGCACAGAAACATTGCTGTTGTTATTGATGCTGCCCGTGTGTGGGGGCGCGACGACCGAAAAAGCAACTGTAAAAAAGCAACTGCAAGAACCTGCTAAAACTGTAGGACCACAACAACAACAGCAACAACAACGCGACAAAGTAATGGTAAATATTGTCAGAGGCAAAGGCAAAGCGCCGCCAACGTTGAAAAATAAAAAGAAGAAATCCATAGAGATAGAACGCGAAGAAGCGAGCGAGCGAGAGAGAGAGAGAGAGAGAGTGCAACGTATGCAGTTATTTATGCAGGCAAAGAAAGAGGTGGAGGCAGACCGCTGTCAGTGTTGCCAGTGTGTTCTGCTATTTTGGAGTGCCCAACAGATGAGAAAACATAAAACCGTGTAGAAAATCAAAATGCAGACAAAACAGAAACGAAGCTGGTGTGGTTGTTGTTGTTGTTGTTGTTATTGTGACGTCAGGGCGCATGCGTTAGGCTGATGCCGCGTTGGGCTGGCTATTCGTCGTTGTTGCTGTTATTGTTGCTGTGCTTTTACATTTTGATTTTTTGGAAAACGCAGACAAAAATTTATGCGACGCCGCTTGTCAACACTGTTGGATGTGTTCTGTTGGTGGTGGCTGCACTCGAGGGGGTGTGTTTTTTTGTTGTTGCCAGAATTGGGGGTTGTTGTTGGAGCATTAAGTGTGCTCACATAAAGCAAAAGGAAACAACGGAAAGTCATGCTAACAATGTGAATGCAGACTGCGACGTAGTTAAAAGCAACCCTACAACAAGCCCTCCTCCCCCCTAACTCTTGCTAAGCAATTAACAATAATAAATTTCGTTATAATTCGTCTTTATCAACGCGAGGCATAAGTTCAATATACCTTGGTCAATAAATCAAGAAAATTCTAAAAATAATCATATGTCTACGACGGATTTACGCAAAGGCGGGCGCTAATTTCTTAGCCAATTGCAAATGGGTTAATGAACTGCAGCGTTCGTGATAAGCAAATGCATCCACTTTCCATTTGTACACATGTATGTATGTTATCATGGAACAAAATTACAAATATGTACATACATATGTACAGATATGCATGTGATATGTCTGTACTTACCGTTTGACCATTTTGTTGGTTACCCCAGAGTTGTTTTCCTGCTGCGTTCCAATATCAACGGATTTATTATAATCCAGTTTTGAGGTAAAGATTTTGATGCGACGGAAATCAATTTTGGCGATGTCTGCTTAAACCTTTTTAGATTTTAATAAAATTGACTACAATTATTTTCTCTTATTCATTCTGATTTATTTATTTTACGCGAAGGAATTTAGCCAGAAATATGTTTGTGTTTTTTCGCTTTCGAAGGAACAGCCCCACTGCGGGAGTCCAATTGGACTCGTACAAGACTTAACGGCAACGCAAAAACAAAGCGCAAACGAAAACAAGCGAATGCCATAAAATTTATAACAAAACAAAACGCATTGTAAACAATAATGAAAAATTGTATAGAACTAAATTCTACAATGCTACACAGTACACATACATACATCTATATTATTATATTATGTATGTGCGACTGTTTATTTTGCACGTTTTATATGGCTTAATCATGCAGTTTGTGGCAATAACAATAACAACTACGTTTGCGTTTTGCGCTTTGGTTTCCGTTTTCGGCACTTTACGTATGTTTGTTTGTTTGCTTGTATTTTTTTCTGCAACACTTCAAGGGCTTTGCAGCAAAAGCCACAACAATTATTGATTCACTGTTATTTGCAACTGCTTTGGCCAAAATCAAACACAAAATTAACACGCGCAGTTGTTGTAGATGAATGCACTTTTGTATTTTACGCGTTTGGCTTTTCGTTTTCTTTTTGCTCAGTCAGCCCAACGGCAACAACAAGAACAACAACAACAAAAACTAATAATTCCACAAACACCTACACACACGCATACATGCATACACAAACATACATACATATGTGTACGTACACCTCTAGCCAACTAGTGGATATGATTTTATGAGCACATAGTGTATTTTTACCTTTTTGAAAAACAATTTAATAAGCAACTTGGATTGCAAACCAGCTACGTATTTTCTAAGGTTTTTAAACTTTGATTCACTTGTCGCAGTTAAACTTTTGCTGCATTTCGCGAGTTTGCTGTTGACATGCATTCGCGCCTAACTGATGCTTTGCCTAGTACGCACAAATTCAAAATGAATAACATCAATTAAGAATTGCAATTCCAACGTTCAATTAAAATAACTTTGCCCGTTTCAAAATATCTGAAATTTGTTTGTTATCAAAGCGGTCTCCGTGCGAACGCGACGCGCTGTTGTTGCGTTTTGTACACCGAAACGAGGGATGTTCGCTTTATGTCGATATATCGATTTGTTAAAACATGCTAGATAGTTCGTCTGCCCGATACATAAGCTATCGATATTGCTATCAACAATTTATAAAGCGTGTTTAAATCTTTTTTAAACATTGCGCTTAGCATTGAGCTTAAATTTTAATATTTTCAGTTGTATTATAATCAAAAATCTTTAAATATACGCTTTATAATCTAAATGATTTTATCGATGTCGACTGTTGTCGCATTGCTCAAATGGTTCTTAAACTAGCCATAATACTTTGAGCGCTTATGTTAAATATCGATAAGTCAACCCCTTTTAAACATCGATTACGAACATAAAGCATATCATTCGAATTTAAATCCGGCACCACCTACATACATACGTTTATAAATACCGTAGAATTTAAAAAATTGTATTTCTATATATTGCCTATTTATTAATTCAAATATTTACGCTACTATTAATATGAGTAGGCGAATGGTGTAGTTGATAGAATTCACAGATTTGGAGAACATGATCAAAGCTAAGAAATCTATCGTGAAGCAACTAGCTGACTTAATTAATTAGATTAGGCGACCTATTTAAACCTAGTTTGAGTTTAAAGAAAATGCCTCACCCGCTAACAGTATTAAAACAACGTACGGCGTATTATGTGTTAACAGTTTACTTCCCCCAACTGCTGCAGTACAGACAACATTCACCAACTCAACCTTATTAATTAGAAACTTAAAAAGTAGAACGCGTTGCAATTTGTGTGCTGGTTTCTCTTAGTTATTAATTGAAATCGCCGCTTTTTCCGTCGCAGGCCACAATCTTAACCTTGTCGACCTTAACGAATTCGTGCACCTCCCGGAACTCGACATCGTTGAGCATCAGGGTCCAGACATTGTCACAGAAGCGATATGTGTTCAGTTTTCCCGCTTTGAATGTAACTCGAGCTTTAACCCTCTGATTGAGGGCGTTGTTAATGCTCTTGTCAAACTGCAGCAGCACCTTAAAGGCCAATGCGGGCGTTATTTGTCCATACTGCAAATATGATTAAAGTTACTTTGACGTCAAAATCAATATTTTATATATATAATAATTAAAAATATAAAGCTAATAAAGCTTATTAACATGAAAAGAGGCTATATCAAATGCAAAATAGTCATCTGTTTAGCCAATTAAATAATTGTTGACTGATGCACTTGCCAATGTGAAAATGCAAAAATTTGACAAGACTTTGCCTGGGTCTGCGACGCAGCTGCTGCTTCGGCCTGTTGAGAATTCTTTTGTGTCGGGCACGGAGCTTACCTGAATTAGTTCGTCCAGGCTCTCTTGTAGTGTATTGCCAAGCGTAGTGTTGCGATATAATTGATAAGACATATTTTAGTCGCTAAATTGTTGAAATTAAAATCCTATTTTATTGAGCAGCCAAAATGTATTGTAGCGATGTCAGTAAATGGCTATACTAAAATATTGTATCGATAGCTTATATATTATTTTCGATATATGAAGCTAGCTCGATATATCGATATATTTTATGCGATGTATTATCAAATGCTGGCATTAACAATAACTACCAATTTTAATACGTTTATAAAATTGTGTTTTATTCTTATCTATTTTTAAAATATATATAACGATAAGTTGAGAACATAAAAATTAAAACTCGATACAAAAAACCAAATATGGAGTTACGTATCAGTAAGCTTTCAAGCGCGATGTGCTGCTGGCAACAAGCTACCAGCTATAGCTTTTGTATGAAGTGGGCGGTGCTTATCCTTTTTGCTACCCTTAGAGGATACTCTAAAGCGGAAGTTGAGTAAGGGTTGCTCTGTAGCTGCATCCAATCAGCGCAGCGCCGTATTTGCCTCAGGTGTGGCGCCAATATTTTTGTATTAACCACAATTTTAAGCACCTTCTTGTCGATTTTAATGTGGCACATAATTTGTGACGCGCAAGATAAACGCAACCGCTTGACCAAGACAAACGACTGGTCAGGCTCGAGCTCGGAAGTAACGGCAGTTTCAGTCACTCGTCGATTACCCAAGTGATAAGTTTAGCCGGTGGTCGCTAGCAACGGTTCGAATCGGGCGCACAAAATGCTGCAGCAAAACCCATCATCGCCGCTCCATGCGGAGAATGTTATCAAATCTTCGAATTCCACGCCGACACTAACACCCACACACACGGTGCTTGCCACGCCGCAGCGTCCGTCATCTCCGCGTCAATTCTTCGAGCGTCTTTACGGGCATCTCGAGACGCGGACGCACAATAGTGAGAGCGGCGACATCGACGTGGGCACACACACCGAGACGCCTTACCAGAGCGACGGAGGCAGCGCATCCTCACCGGATATTTCGATAAGTGATGAGCGCGTCTCATTAGTCAGTTTTCCATCGTATGAATTGCTTGCGCCTCCGGCGGATTACAATACGTACGGCGCCATTGCGAACGGAACTTTACCGACGGGTCTATCATTTCCAGCTTTTTCGGGCGATCCGCATATTAACGCCGGATTCTCAGCATTTTGTGAGTATACTAGTGAGATTATTCAGAAAAATCAAATTGAATTTTAAAGTGTTTTTGACCTAATACCATACAAATAATTTTCAAGATATATAGATATTTCTTATCAAAATTGTATTATATTATTATTATTTAAAACGTACTTAACTATTTTAGTTCCTGTAAAGATCAGATACGGGTTAGTGAAGTTTTTTTTAGGATAATTGGAGCGGAGGAATAGGTCTGGCCATATACCTATGTAGCAGTGATAGGCTTTCCACCTGGGTTATAAAATATTTTTTGATTGATTATAATCGAAGATAAATACACTCTAAGGTCGTAGTATGGAAGCTTGGAAGAGCTTGGTTGGGATACTGGGAAAGAATCCGTGTTCCCACGATCCCATCTATGGGAACTATATAATATAGTAGTCTGATAATGAGCAGATTTTGCTCGTAGAATGAATATCATGATTGATAAGCCGTTGCCATAAAGGAACCTACCATTCCACCGATCTATAGGAGCTATATGATATACTTTTCATACGATATGAGCTTCATAATGGAACTAGTACGTCCCGAGTTTAGTCAAGTTACCCTAATTTAAAAAAGGTTTCCATATCGGAAACAACTTTTCGACTGAACGTTCCCATGGCAGCTATATGATATGGTTATCCGATGTTGGTAAGATTTTGAATACATGTGGGGGACGTTTTAAAACTTATAAATGCCAAGTTTGGTCAAGATGTCTTAATAAACAAAAAAATGTGTCATACAAGAACCTGCTTTTGGTCCGATCGTTCCTATGACAGCTATATAATATAGTGGACCGTCCCGCCCAGTTCCGACGTACTGCCTGCAACAGAAAGACGGACGGGGAAAGATAGCTTTAAAACTGAGAGACTAATTCGCAAAGAAACAGATAGACGGACAGAGGGACGGACAGACAGGCAGACAGACAAACGGATATGGCTATGTCAACTCGGCTGTTGATGTTGATCTGGAATATATAAACTTTATGGGGTCGAAGATGTCTCATTCTATGCGTTACACATTTCATGACAAAGTTATAATACCATCCATAAGGGTATAACAAAGGATTTCATGCAATAGTTCAGTTTTCGACACATAAAAACCCTTATGGATACGATCTGCTTACCTTGAAATTATATCCCAAAGAAATGCCAGATGTTAAAAAGATTTCATCGGATCTAAACTGATACAAAAAATCGGTCTTAAACCAAATCAGTTGCCCAAAAAACAGCCAAATAACAATCCAACCCAGATTGGTTTGAATCAAAAAAAAATCCTTTTAAGGAACATCCAGACGCAAAGTTTTGCCATGGAAGATGCGGACCCAAGTATAACAATTCCATTATCGAATCATATATCGGATTTGAAATTTTGGCTATTTTTAGTAAAACGTCCAGTTATAAGTTAAATATTAAAATTATTCTTTATTTATATTAAGATCTAATGAAAAACCAAAGCTTGAGCCAAAACTTAGGTTCAAGACACAGAATTGACCTGAATTTTCTTTGGGATATTATTGGGTATTTTATTATTAAAATATCGCATTCGATTGATTTGGGAAATTAATTGCTTTAATTGAACCTGGAACGTTTCTATATACAGCCGATTTTCCACTCAGCTACTCCTAATTTAAACTTCCCTTAGAGCATCTGTTGTATAGGGTATTTATATGGTCGATGAAACGTCAACTTTATCAATAGACAGGACACCTTCGATGACATGTCATTATGTTTGTCTTGTAAGCGAGTATCGGATTTCAGCTTGTACCTTAATATGTCCGAATGATTGTGATTAGTTGGGATTGAAAAATTGCTAAAGCATAAAGATGTTGTTTTTTTTTCAGTTCAGTTAAAATCAATCAAATTAAGGCATAATCGGATTTTTAGAAATCTTGCTGATGTATTTTTGAATACAATTTTGTGCTACATTTTGGATTATTTGGGTTTCTTTTTTGCCTCCTCTGCCTCTCGAAGCTGTTTTAAGTTGCTCAGCTCCATGCTCAAAAACATTCGCAAATTGGGATCTTTGATCTTGGCCAGGACAATCTCACGGGCACGCTCGTCGTTGTTGCCCAGCAGCTTGGCCACAGTCTGCGCGTACTCCACCCAGACGCAATTGGGGCATCCGGACATGCAGCAGGTGGTGGGTTCCGGGGGTAACTATCAGTTTTAAACGTTAGACGAGTCAAGTTTCAAATGGGCGAGGCAAACGAGGCTTACCACAATATCCGAGGCGTCTTTATTCGCCAGATGTCTGGCCTGGAAGGCTGCGGCTAATTGGATTGTCGCCCGGCCAAGCAGGCAGCGCTGGCAGCTGAAGCACAGAGGAGCACGCATTCTGATTGGATCTGTAATATGGTCAGAAATGTGAAAATGTAAAATGCAAACCGATTTTCACACGCTGGCGCATGCAGGTGCACGAGTTTAATGAACAAAAATAAAGAAGAACAAAAATTAGTTCCGCAGGAACTGCGTAAAAAAGCTGTGCAATAAATACCAATAGCCAGGCTATTAAATATCCTTGCACTTGTCGGCAAATCCTTGAAGAAAAAAAACTATGCAAAAGCAAAGGAAGCAAATGCTAAAGAAAAACGAAAAGCAGAGACTTGGGGAGAGAGAGAAAGGGCCTTAAGAAGAAGAAAGCAAAAAAAAAACACAAAAAAACACAAGAAATTAACAAAATATTAAAAAGCATTGAGCCGTAAAAATTTCCATTTACTTGCGGTAATCTCGCTTAAAGGTCGCTGTAAAGGGTGCGGGGGCGGGGCACGAAAGTGATGTGGAAATTAAGAATGGACAATGGTAGACGAAGATTGATAAGGGAGAGAGATGATATTACAAGCCACATCACGATAATTTGGCACCCCAATAAATATGCCACTTTCAGAGTTAGCTAAAAAAAAAAGAAGAGTAGAAAAAAAACGCATTGCTAAAAAATTAACACTGTAATTGAGCTTAACAGGAAACCTAAAAAACACACACACAACACAAACATTGACAGACACTTGCGCCAGCTCAAAGAACACTTGTCCTATCGAATTTCACACGTGATTTCAAAAAAATTTATGTATATACATATATATACATATCTTTTTGCAAATAAGCCGAAAGCAGAGCTTAAGGCTCTTGTGAGTTAGTCAGGCAGAGGGTAATCAGGCGAGAACTAGAGATTAGCACCCCCTTCCCCATCTCCCCGCGCTCACACAAAAATTTGCCAACAAACGGAAACTTTACAGCTTCGCAACAGGCAAGGCAAGAGAGAGCGGGAGAGAGAGAGAGAGTGGCTGGGAGAGCGAGCGCGCGACAAGGACTGGGAAAACAACAATTAAGCGGTAATCAGCGTACGCGAACAGACAATGAGAGTATGTGGGCGTGGCTGAATATTGTTCGCTCGGATGACGTCTACGTCATAATGCAATGCAAACAAATATTCATTAGGATTGCGGCACAACGAAGTGCATATACCCTTACAAACAAATTAATCAAACTGTTGTCAATACTTTGCTCGCTAAAAGAGTTGCGATTCTTATTTGCAAAATATACAAAAAATATATACTACATTTTTTTTTAAATTCCATAAAAATTAATAATTTTGAAAACATTTTAATATTTTTTCATTTATTATCTTGCGTTGCGGCCCTCATTTTCGAAGTATACCAAATACTAGCATTTTTTTTTGTATTCAATTAAAATTATAAATAAACAATATATATTTAATTTGTTCTTGGTGGTCCGCATTTTCGAAAGATACAAAATACTAAAATATTTGTTGCATTAAAAAAAAATTAATAATTTTTATTGTTATACAAATTAAATTAACTATTGTTGTGATAAATTGAGGTACAGCTCGAAGCTCGAAGATATTTAAAAAAGTGCAGATCAAAATACAAAAAATAAAAATGACAATGACAAATAAAATTAAAAATTTTTATATAAGTTATAAGCATATAAAGCAATCGAACTTATGAAACTCTTGACCTAAACTTATTGGAGCCAAATTTATTTTTGATATTTTTTGAAGTCTGTTGCCTTCTACAGGATCTTATATTGATCAATTGTTTGTTTCCCGTGCTGTCTTTAAGTACCTCAATGGTACCTATTAGTTATAATCAATCGCCTGATCCAACGTATTTTTTTGTATATTCATATTTTCATATATTTTGATGAAAGTTTTAAAAGCTGAAATTATCCAGAAATTGAGTATTTAATTTCTTAATGTGCTCAGAGCTCTCGAAAAACTTTCTTTTTAAATAAATTGGATTATTTTAATATATTAAATGTATTCTCAATTTATTCCTTTTACAAAAACTAAGGCTTTACAAATTAGAATTTTTAGAAAATTTGTGTGCGAAATTGAAAATAGTAAACAGCGTGAAAAACGTATAATACCCTTCCAAGAAGTGTATAGTTATGATGACTGTTAGCAGCATAGCAAAAATAACAATGGGAGGATGGGAGACAGCTGTTGGTATTGTTGAAAGTTTCCCGGCTTCGGATTGCCCAAAGTATGAATTGCTGGGAGGACAAAGGATGAGGGAGGGGCAGGGCGCTGATGGACAGTCTAGGAGGAACACGTGTAAAATGCATTTTAATGTGCGCCATAAACGCGATCACAAACATCGCTTAGCAGTAGAAAAGGAGGAGGAGGAGGGGCATCAGCATGGTTAATTATTTGTTTAACTTGTTCACACGCAAGGACACTAAGCTGGACGCTGATATATGTGTGAGCTTGTACAGGAGGGGTAGAGGGGTTGGTGGCAATTTGATGGTTTATTAATGTGGGATTTAGTTCACTCTAACATCTCCATTGTGTGTGCGTGTGGCCCAATGATATACTATCAAGCCATTGTTGTGGATTATAATGTGCTGCCTAACAATTTGATTATCCTATCTCTATTTGGCAGTGGCTCGACGTCGCCGCAAGGAGGGGCGCCAGAGGCGGCAGCGCACCACCTTCAGCACGGAGCAAACACTGCGGTTGGAGGTGGAGTTCCATCGCAACGAATACATATCGAGAAGTCGACGCTTTGAGCTGGCCGAGACGCTGCGCTTGTCAGAGACACAAATCAAAATATGGTTTCAAAATCGTCGCGCCAAGGATAAACGCATCGAGAAGGCGCAAATCGATCAGCATTACAGGTAAGCAATAAGTAGCAGGAACGGAAGTAATTCAAAGATATGTCAAAAGTTTAATTGATGTACTCCCATAAAATTAACACGAAATTAATTTTACGACATTTACGGCCCAATTAGACAAATGTCTGGGTCGGGGTCTGAGTTTGGGTGGTTCACTGTTCCGACATTTTTATGTAATGCACGATACTATCAATTTGCAGGAACTTTGTCGTGGCCAATGGTTTTATGAGCACCATTATGGGCCAAACGAGTTACGCGACGGCTGCGCCGGCTAACAGCTCAGCGGCGGCCATGCTAGGCGGCAGCTACTATGGTGCGGCACCGGCGCTGCAGCCGCTGCTGCCGGCGCCGCTGCCCAAGGACAGGCCGACGCTCGTAAATAACGCGCGTCGTGCGGATGTTAATTATGTTGACATTGAGGACCGCCACCACCACAATCATCACCAAGTGCATCCTGACCAGCAGCAGCAGCAGCAGCAACAGCAGCGACGCAGCCGTTTTGTGCCTCCGCCAACGCTTATTAATTCGTGCTAGCACTTACGCAGCCTTAAGTAATTTAATACCTTGATTTAAGCTCATATAGCACATGAAAATGCGTAAAATAAACTAAGCTTAATTACAAAACCTTATTTTCGCTTTTTTCCCTCGCTTTTAGCTTTTAAAAAGTCAAAACTTGCATCACTGTCTGGTGGTTATAACTATCCATGACAACAGTTTATTTGGCGGTCTAACGCCAACGCATTGATACACGTACCTTAGTTCACTGCATTTGTTGTTGCAGCAGTTGAAGCAACTGCTGGTTTTTTTAAAATCCAAACGAGCTCTTACTTTAGATAAATATTATACAATTTGACTAAACAACGTAATAATAACAATAACAAACCAGGGCTGCCAAAAATCCGTGCGTCAAAATAATATATCGAAGGCAGGAACTTATCGATTGTCACGTAGAACGATGTATATTGCACATCCCTGAAATTTTCTTCGCGTGCGTGTGTGACGAGCTGTAGTTTGCATTTTTTTTTTGTAAGTTTAATTAAACGTGCGCCAAATATGGCAAACACACCGCAAGTAGTCAAATTAGAGGATTCCGCAGATGAGCCCGAGATATTTGAAATCAAAGACGAAGATGTAAGTACCAATAAAAATGCGGCATCTGCACTACTCATTCTACTGAGTGCACCTTGTGGTACATAAAAAAGACCTGTGCTGTTTTTGACAAACGAACACATGCATGTGTACATGCATATATACGAATATATTTGTGTTTAATTTGGCCTGCAGGACATTTGTGAATTGGAGCACTTGCGCAAGCTGTTTATTGGTGGCCTGGCGCCTTACACCACAGAGGAGGGCCTCAAAGTCTTCTATTCCCAGTGGGGCAAGGTGGTCGATGTTGTTGTGATGCGAGATGCTGCCACTAAGCGCTCACGTGGCTTTGGGTTTATTACCTATACAAAGTCCGCCATGGTAGATACTGCGCAAGAGAACCGACCGCATATCATCGACGGCAAGTATGTATCTAATGTTATATTTGTATTAACTCAATCTCATAATTATTATCTGGTTTTCGGTTTCTTCTAGAACCGTGGAGGCAAAACGCGCTCTGCCGCGTCCGGAGCGTGAGACACGTGAAACAAACATTTCGGTTAAAAAGCTGTTTGTCGGCGGCCTAAAGGACAATCACGATGAGGATTGCCTGCGCGAATATTTCCTGCAATTCGGCAATGTGGTGTCCGTGAAATTGCTCACAGACAAAACTACCGGCAAGCGTCGAGGCTTTGCCTTTATCGAGTTCGATGACTACGATGCCGTAGACAAGGCGATACGTGAGTCTAATAAAACAAATTAATCTGAACAATTTCAATGTAATAAATTTTCACTAACAGTTCAAAGACAGCACTCTATTAAATACGTGCTCGTCGATGTTAAGAAGTCCATATACAATTTGGAAAAGAAAGACAGAATGGCTCAGGGCGCTACAGCCAATGGCAACAAGATGCCGCAGCAGCAGCAGCCGCCGCCTAAAACCAACATGCCACCAACTGGCTACCGTCCCCAAGTGCCTCCGCCGCAGCAAATGCCGCCGTATCAGCACCAACCGCCGCCGCCACCCATGACCGCTCCGCCACCAAACTATAACTATTGGGGGCCACCTCCGCCCATGCAGCCTTATTACCAGCAGCCGCCGCCGCCTCAAATGAATGCGTGGAATGCTTATCCACCCGCGCAGAATGGCTGGAATGCACCACCGCCCCCACCACCCGGTGCTCAGCAGTGGCATCCCAACCAGTGGGGCGGTCCGCCAGCGGTACAGCCGCCAACACCTGGCGTGCCTCCAGCTGGTCATCATCGCAGCGGTCCACCGCCGCAAGTGGTGGGTAACTGGAATATGCCGCCGTCTGGGGCACCACCAGTACCTGGTTCCATGCCGGTACCACAGGGCCCACCACCCCATCAGCCGCCACCACCACAGCAGCAGCAGCCACCGCCGCCAAACTTTGGCACCGGCTATCAACAAAACTATGGCGGTGGCCCAACTAAACACAACAACATGAATGGCAACCGCATGAATCCCTACGCTGCCCCACCCAGCAGCTATCGTAAGTAGGATGACTTTTTCGAATTTCTGTATTTCAGTATCAGGCTTTTTCTCTGTATAGACAACGCGCAGCCACCAGCACCCGGCTATGCGCCCTACAATGCCGCAGCTCCGCCGCCCAGTGGCGGTGGTCCCCCCTCGGGACCCGTGCCTAAAAATATTTCAAATGGATCGGTGGCCACCGGGGGCAGCGCGAACAGCAAATATCGCCGTTAGTCGGGGTAAGTGAAGCGAGAGACTTAAAAACTGTCCCTCACCCATTGCGTTGTCATTGTTGTGGTACGTTTATGCCTAGTACAATTAAAGCAAAGTTTAAGGTACCAAATACTGACTCCAATTGTGTCCCTCTCTATAAGTATGTCAAAGTACTAATCTTTATAATTCTCTTTAATTTAGATGCCTTTTTGTGTGTGCCTTAAGTGCAGCACAAAAGCTCAGAATTCAAGATACAAATACAGATACTGATAAATAGGCTTGTAGTAAGCTAGGACACACACTCGCTTAGTAACTTAAAAACAGGATAAATATTAACAGCGTTGTCTCTCTTTCTATATATATACATTTATATCTAACTGAGCGTACGGCAACAACTAACTAAAGTTTTTAACTCCTTAACTTAAGCTCTAATGTTATTTATTGAACGATTGATATCCATCTATGTTTGTATTTAAGCGATACTCGGCTTATTAATAAGACAAATATTTGATACAACTGTGAGTTGTAGCCAAAATCGTTTCATTTCATTTACTGTTAACTTGCCATGCATCATTTTCTTTCAAAAAACTAAGTTATACAAATTGTAAACCCCAATTAGAAATTAACCAACTAGTGCTCTCTTATTCTCTCTTCATATTATAATTATGTATGCCTAAAATGTAATTCCAGTCTATAAATACAAATGAAATTCAGTGCCCGTGCCCGTGCGTAGCTCAGCATTAGAACACCGTAAACGTGTATTTTTGTAATCGAATTAGACCTTAAATAATACCTTTAGCAGCCGAGCTTATAGAGCTAGTTTGCATAGCTCTCGTATATTATAATTAATAGACGCCTTAATGCTCGTATATCCAAAAATAGATCATGTTGGCTGACGAGCATAATACCAAATGAAAAACTGAAAAGATACGTCCAGTAATATAACGTTAAATCAAATCAAAAGGCTGCTGAGCAACGCACGGCTGCGCACATCAAGTATAAAATATAAAGTATAATATAAAATAGAAAAGTTTAATACTGTGCATAATTCTAATCGAGTTGATAACCAAATTACTGTCAATTTGTATAAACATAAATGTATATAAATATATATATATACGTATATGACTCTACACTCTACTTACATTTATATTAAGTTGTAAACGGTTTCCTCTCACACTCAAACTCATTTTGCAATTGCTGCAATAAGATGAATGCGAATGCCCACAATATTCAAATCTTGCACATTTAGATGTTTATATGTGTAGAGCCTATCTTTTAAATTATGCGTTTCAGATCCAAAATACAAGAAATTATTCAGAATATTTCAAAAAAAACAAAAAAAGACGAACGTTAAAGGAGCAGCTGATTTGTTATTGTGTGACAATTATGTATTTAATTGCAAAATTTCAAAATAAAATTAATGGATTGATGTGCTTGTAATCAACCACGACATGAACTCTAAGTTTAGCATTAATTTATAAATATAGATGTTGCGACTATATCTCGATATGTATGGATATGTTTAAGTTTTGTAGCGCACGCCAAAGGCTTAACACGATTTCAGTTTATATATATATATTAACTATATATGATATATGTATTAGATTATGCAAGGCCCAACTAAGAGAGTCCCTAATTTGCCAGTTTAATATAGCTCTACGCAATATAACTTACGATATAATTATTATATATATATACAATATGAAAAACAAGTTTCAATATATTTATTTTTAAATAAATAAATTCTTTAAACCCACACTATGTATTATAATATTTACTTGAGCTGTGCCAAAGCTGCAATATTAAGTAAGTCTCCGAAGATAACTAAGTACTTAGAGTCCTACTTAGCCAACAACCTATTTAATTAACAGTTATATTAACAGTTAAATTTAGTTAAACTTATGCCTATGCAGCTCTAGAAACAAGTGCAAGCAATTATTCTCTATAGCTCTATCTCTCTCTCTCTCTCTCTCTATTTATATATTTATATGATTTTTACTGTATGTTTTCGAGGCCTTGCGTCAAGCTTTAAGGTAAGTTAGTGGGCACAATTTTAGATACACAGAACCTTATTAACTAACTATCTAGTTTATATGAATGCTTAAGTACCGCTATTTATACGTATTTAGCATACAATCACTTTAATGCAGCATTTCTAAAAGTACCAAATCCCTATTTCTTTCCACACAACACACACAAGAAAAAAACCCTACTCAAGCACTGCTGGATGCACTGAGACAACAAAATAACTAGATTTCGACCCATAGGTAAGTCTGATATATATATATTGTTATGATATTCCCCTCCATGTACTATATACTTAGCTGTTGTTTGCCCGAATAAAATCAAATCGTATTCAAAACAAAAATAAAGAAAATCTGTGTTGTTATTGTAACGAACATGTTGGCAGCCAACATGTTGGCGAGCCCAATGCCATGTTGTGTGCCTGTGCTCCAGTTAAGCGATATATTTGTGGACATCCCATGACGATCCATTATCGCTCTGTAGCCCATCGTCCGGCCAACAGTCGTTCGTCTGCCGCCGACGCGTTTGGACATTCTCTCAATTGTACAGGAATTTAATAATCAAATATTGTAAGTATTCTAAGGCAGCTGCGAATCATTTGTGAAGTACTCGTTGTATAGAATCGATTCAAAGTTTTGAAATTCGAGTGCCTTGGCTTTTTGCGTGTCTCAGCTTTAAATTGTATTTCGATATTCAAGTTCAATAATCTGCGTAAAATGCATTGCAATTAAAGTTAATTGAACTCAATTCTAAAAACAATTTGCCAATTAATTTAATCAAATCTTTTTTTAAATTTTGCTCTGTTCTGGCTATATACTAGAATCTTGCATTACAAGGTCAGATCTGGACACAAGTATCATTATCACAGTGCATTTCCGGCTATTTAAGTTTATGTTGCATAAAACAAGTAGAAATTCTTTAAAGAAATCTCAGATATTTCTGATTTGGCTACTGTAAAACTTTTCACCACAGTTTTTGCTCAGTGTAGCTTATGATTACAATGAAAATTCTGGTACATTGAGTGTAGTCTCCCACACAAACATAACAAGATCTGCGGCTATATATGCGATAGATCACGTCATTCTTGGTCGGTTTTCGTTATAATTAAACTGCAGCTGCAACAAACGCGAGGAAGAGGAAGAGTAAGAGGCAGAATACCCAAAGCATGCAGCATCCACTGAAATATTCCTGGAAACTGTTGCATTGAACAGAGATGCACATGCACATGAAGATATTGTATATAGATATGAAGTGCCAAGTGTATATAGGAATTGTGCCACATTTGAAACAAGAAACATTGCGCATTCGCTCTGGTCAACTGAAAAAGCGGCGATTGAGCAAATCTCAATTCCCAAAACGGAAGCCCAGGCTAGAGATAAGCGCACAGGCCAAGCTAATGCGATAAGCCCACATTTGTTATTGTACTTATGTGCTTATATAGTGTACCCTATTGTACAAGCACATGTTTATATATGTTCTATAACATATAGTTGACTGATGAGCATGGTGATTGGCCCATAGTTTTTGAGTTACCTCAGCATTCGGGTCAAGCTTTAATCGGAACAGAACCATAGAAAATATAGTACATATTCCTATTATATATATAGATGATTTCAGAATTGCGCTTTTTATGCCAAAGCAACGATCATAAACAAATTTCAAATGCTTTGAACTGGAGAACATGTGTTTAACATGCCGTCAAAATCTCTTTTTGTTTTTAGTGTGGACCCAAATGCATTGCAATTCCTACTCAGTCATTTGCAAAGTATCTAAAAAGTTGCCTGAATATGTACTAATAGAAAATAACATTAAAGTTGGGTTGGTTATTTTCATTAACATAATCAATTTCATTCTTAAAGAAAGTTTCTCTTCTTAAATTGCAAAAGTTAAATTTTGATTTGTATCTATTCTAAAAGAAAACATACCTTTGGTTTTCCTTCGACGCAAATGCATTCCCACTCTAACTTTCTTTCAACTCAGTTGCTTGTATATATACCAATAAATCCAAATATTTGAGATTGTTAGAGCTGTATTAAAAATCTAGATTACTCAGCAAAATATTTAATTCCTTTTTTATGACACTTAAGATTTTTAATTATTCCAATAGAATATTAGAACCATTAAAATCTTTAATTTTTTTCTAGCCAGTCTTGCAAAGAATTTAAAGGATTTCTTACCATAAAAACAATTAAACAATCAATTACCATATATTTGACTTCTTAGTTAACTCCATTTTTTAAGTAGAATCACCCTTTAATTTTTTATATATGTCTATGCTAAAAAATATTGTTTTGTTGACCCAAATGCACAGCAAAAACTATTGCCAAGAATTTAAAGGGTTGCTTGAATATGAAACCCGAAAACAAATCGTTAGGGCATTATCTTTAACTAATGTTACTCAAATCAGTAATTTTCAGATACGTACATATACACATTCCTTTTCTTAAGTAAAATATTCATTTAATTTCCTTATGAAACTAAAGATTTGTATCTGTTCTGCAAGAGTATATCTGTGTGTGCAAGCTGGTCCACCCTATTCGATGCGTTCTCCTTTTGCAATTTTTTCACCGCAAACAATAAGTGTGCATTGTATTCATCAAATTCCGCAACTTCCTGGTAAATGCCCTTCCGAAATATATGTTGAATTTACATGTAGAGAAATGCGACGTCTTCAAATGCCGCGCAAAGTCTTTGCAGTGTAAGTCACCCTAAAAAGGGGGTTGCTTACCGTTATAGTGCGAACCGTTACAGCAGTACAGTCTCGTGCACTTTAAGAAACTAGAAAACGTTTTTTTTTGGCGCAAAATTTCGAAATAAAATACACCGAAGGCTAAACTTAATCGCGCCACCGTTTGACCTCCCGCACTTGAGGGAGATTATTTGTTCATATAGTATATAAATATTTAAGTATATTGTATTTCTGAATAAATAATATGCTTGGGCACTTTCAGTTTTGTGGGGAACTCGTAGGGAAATGCGTTCCGTTTGGTTGCTGCTCTGTTTGGGGCTGCTGGCGCTTGTGCAGGTGCGCGCCGAGGAGTCTGTCGTTGATCTCGACTTGGATGACATAGCCGAGTTCGATGAGGACGATGAGGAGTTTCTGACCGTGCTGGAGGAGAAATCCAAAGTGTGTATTGCTTAATCCATTAATTGTGAGCACTTTGTATGATTAACTGGTGGCATTCTTTCAGAACAAAGATGTGGAACGTGAGAACGAGCTGGCCCAGAAATTGGCGGATGTACAGCATAACATACTGAATCCCGTTGTCGAGGTTGATCCCTGCGAGCTCATGCACTGCGGCGCCGGTCGCATTTGCCAGCTCAACAAGAGCAAGCCGGAGTGCGTGTGCATTCCCGAGTGCCCGGAAGAGTCGGATGTGCGTCGTCATGTGTGCACCAACAAGAACGAGACTTGGCCCTCGGACTGCGCCGTCTACCAACAGCGTTGCTGGTGCGACATCAAAGACCCGGGCTGCCGTCATCCAGACAATGCGCATCTGCACATCGACTACTATGGCGCCTGCCACGAGTCGCGCGTTTGCGACGGTGAGGATCTGAAGGACTTCCCGCGTCGCATGCGCGACTGGCTGTTCAACGTGATGCGCGATCTGGCCGAGCGCGACGAGCTGACCGAACACTACATGCAAATGGAGCTGGAGGCCGAGACCAACAACTCGCGCCGCTGGGCCAACGCAGCTGTATGGAAATGGTGTGACCTGGACGGAGACACCGATCGCTCGGTGTCCCGCCACGAGCTGTTCCCCATACGCGCACCGTTGGTCAGCTTGGAGCACTGCATTGCGCCTTTCCTGGAGTCGTGCGATTCCAACAAGGACCATCGCATCACATTGATTGAATGGGGCGCTTGCCTGGAGCTGGATGCAGAGGACCTCAAGGAGCGCTGCGACGATGTCCAGAAGGCAGTGCCGCATTTACTGGGCTAAGCTGTTCCATGGGGCCCACATATTTTGATTAATGTAATTTTACTATTACTATTTTGTGCACAAAGTTTATTTCAACAATTAATTGTCTAATAAATTCACCAATAACAATTTGGGTTTGTTGTTGTTTTGTTTTTTTATTTAAAGTTTTATTAAATT